ATGGTGGTGGTGGTGGTGGTGGTGGTGGTAGTGGTGGTGAAGGTGGTGGTGGTGGTGATGAAGGTGGTGGTGGTGGTGATGGTGGTGGTGATGATGGTGATGATGGTGGTGGTGGTGATGGAGGTGGTGGTGGTGGAGGTGGTGTTGGTAGAGCAAGCTGGTTAGCTAATTTAGCAGGAGACAGTAAGCTCTGGATTCATTGAGAGATCCTGTCTCTAAACAAAGTAGAGACTGGCCCAGGAAGACGCTTGATGTTAACTTCAGGTCTCCACACAGCATATTTGTTAACACACATACATGTACCCACACACAACACAACACAAGATAGGCTTGTAAAAAAAAAAGTTGGATTAAATAGCACCTGGAGACTCCAAGGATACTGCAGCCAGTTGATTACTGGGCAGACGGGCAAGCGCTTTGCCCCTGGAAAAGGGCCTGGGAGCAAAACCTCCAAAGATACCAAGCCTCAGGTACACAAACCCAGGGTGAGCTTTATGCCCGTGTACAACAGGCACAGGCAAGCCCGGCATACAAAAGCCTTTGAGAATAGAAGACAACTCAGACTGGATCAGACAGAGGCAACTTCCAGGCCACCCTGTTTAAGATGAGGTCATTTCTAATTTGAGTGTGGGGGCTCACACCTGTAATCCCAGCACGCGGAAGGCAGAGGCAGGAAGTTCACCCATGAGTTTGAACTCAGACTGGGCTCCAGAGTGAGTTCCAGGCCTAAAGCAATAACAGTAAAGAGGCCACTTCTGATTGGAAAGGTGAGGTCTGCTGCCTGAATCAGCTGAATACTTGAACACTGCTTCCACTGCAAAACAGAGGCTCAGTCACACCCAACCTGACTTCACTTCCCTGGGGATGCTGGGTGCAGACAATATGCCAGTATGGAGATTTGGAGATATGCACACATGTGACTTTGCCCCTCAACACCACACATGGGTCTACTGTCAGAACCACTCTGCTTTCCACAGGTTCAGCTCTGCTCTGGATGCAGAGCTTCATTATCTCCACACTTGGGCCGATGTTGTTAACTGTAAACTCTGTCTTCCAATGGGACTTACAGTGTTTGTTACCTCCAGGATCCCAGAGTTGGGGTACAGACGTATTCCCCCAGGCAGGCTCACATGAGCACCTCACCTGATCCTGCACAGCACCTTTGTGCTGATCTGGTGCTCTGTGATTGGTCACTTGCTGAATGATTACTGCAGTGAGTGGACAGGCCTTGCTTTCAGAACCTTCTGTCTGGAGGAGGCTGGAGAACTAGTCACTCCCGCCCACTTGGGTGTCAGAGGTCAAGCTCATGGGAGAATTGGGATGCAAGGGTGGGTCACCTGCTCCCAAGAGTTTAGGATAAGAACCGTGAGTTTCTTTTGATTCCTGCACCCTCCTAACAGCCTCATTTTGGCAGAGTGGAGGGAACCTGGGAAACACTGCCAGGTGTATTTCAGGCTTGAGAACTTGGCTTGTTCAGAAAGGTCATATGGTTTCTGTGCTGTATCTCTAGAACACTCACAGCACCCATATCATAACCTTTAAGATGTTTACAGCATGCACATGGAACTTTCCAGACTAGGGACCTCTGTTTGTTTATTTTAGAACTATTATACTTGCAGTTTGCAGAGGGGGATCTGTTGGTGTAAGGCCCCTAGGGAAAAGAAAGGCATATAGCTTCTCTTTGGTGAACCCCTCCTGCTCCCAGCTAGCCTCAAAAACAATATAAGCCTTTTTATAGCACTTGGTTTTTTATTCTGTCTTCCCAAGAGGTAAGACAGCCCCATGCAGGCTCCATCCCTGAAAATGCTTACCAGTCTGTGTGGGCATCATCGATCACCAACAAGATCCTGGGTCTCTGAACCACGGGGGTGACAGGAGTTGGTGGTTCCATTAGCCCCGAGGGGGCCTGTGGGGTCTGTTTCATGGCACTGGAGAAGGAGCTGAACAGGCTGGATCCTGGAGAAGAGAAAGAGGCAGCCAGGGGCTGGGGGTGCCTCCTCTCTGTGGCCGGGGATGCTGGGGAGCTACTGGAGCTCTCTGGGCGCTGCAGGTCCGGCATGTAGCCATTGGGCAGGTTGGCTACAAAGCTGCTGTCGGACAGACGCCTCCGGAGGAAGTTCATGGCTGCGATAGATGGGAAGCCTCCGTCCACACAAAAGCAACTAGGTAAAGCTCAAAGTGCAGGTTGCCAGCGGCAGGGAGCAGGAGGCTTGGGGTCAGAGGAGCCCAGGGGTTCTACACCACCAGAAGTGGGCTTCACAGGATTCTGTTTACCTGTTGGAAAGAATCCAGTAAGCACATTAGTGGAACCAACCTTCTCCCCTTTAAAAGCAAACAGATAAAGAACATTTTCAGCCCACTGCTGGTGGCTTTGCAAACTGGGACACACTTTGAGAGACTATTTGGCAACATGCCTTAAAAGCATACAACTTCCATTTTCAGGAATTCTACACTAAAAAAAATAATCTAAGCAACATGTAAAAGCCTCATGCATAAAAAGATTTATCACAGCCTTATTGACACTGTTTAGAATACTGGAAAGCCACTCAATATTCAGCCACAGGATGAGACAGTCACTTGGTGAATTGTTTCTGTCCATTCAAAAAGGGTTCGGATGGAGCATTTTTAGTAACAAAACTAAGTTTCATGTTGTAATGTTAAACACATCAAGTCTGCCCTTGCTGGCACATGCCAGCAGTTACAGCTACACTGGAGGCAAAGACAGGTAGATCAATAGTTCAAGACCTGCCTGGCCTATAGTGAGTCCAAGGCCAGCTTGAATGACTTAGTAAGAGCCTCTCTCAGAATTAAATGGATGAACAAATATATAAAAATTTTAAATGGCTGGGGCTATAGCTCAGTGGTAGAGGGGTCTAGCATGCAGGAAACCCTGAGTTGGATCCCCAGCACTGACAGAAAAGAATCAGAACACAAAATTACATGTATAAGATAACTACTGCAATAGAAAAGTAACACCACTTTGAAATTAAAAATAAATCATAGCAGTGAATACATTTTGGTAAGCCATGTTATTTGACCTTTTTCTGTTTATTTGTGTTCTCCAAATTTTCTTGAATGTATAATGCTGAAGATTGAGATTCCCCCTCAAATAAGTTCATATGTTGAAGATCTGATCCCCAGTGAGAAGAGATTTGGAGGAGAGGCCTTTGGGAGGTGACTGGAATTGGGTAAGTGTTGATGGTGGATTCCAGGTAGAGTAGAACTCTTCTTATGAGGGACACCCTCTGCATCTTGTAAGGACATAAATAAAGGCCGTCTGCAAGCTAGAAGGTGGCCCCTGCCAGACCCCACCATGCTACATCCTGCCATCCTGCTGTCAGACTTCCAGATTGTGAGAAAATGAATTCCTGCTGTTTAGACCATATGGTCTGTGGCATTTTGTTATGGTAACTGAAACAGACAAAACACACACACACACACACACACACACACACACACACACACACACAAAATTTTCTGGAAATCTTTTATTCCATTTGTTTATTGGTGGATATGTGTGTGTATTTGGATGTAGGTGTGTGCACACACTCTGTGCGAGCCAGAGAACAATGTGCAGGTATCAGTATTTCCTTCCACTCTGTGAGACTAGAGACTGAACCCATGTGCCTTTCCTGTCTGTGCCCGAGCCATCTCACCAACACAAGAACAACTGTTCAAACCTCACTGTTGATTTGAGATCAAGAACAAGGACTACTTAAGCCATGGAACTGAACTATATGTTTCTGTCATATTTTTATATTTTATTATTATAGATTTTACTTAAAGTAAAATTCAAAATCTTTACAGTCCAATTCTTTGTTAAATGATAATGTGGGGTGGCACTGGCTTGCTTCTGTCACCTCAGAAAGTTCCCCTGCACCCCTTTCTGGTGAGGCCACACCTCTCCAAGGCACTAATGCACACTGCTGTGCCTAGATTTTTACCTGGGTGCTAGAGACCACAATTCCAGTTCTCAAATTTACATGGCAAGAATCTTACAGATGAAGCCACCTCTGTATCCCTGAGACTAACTTAAAGGTTCAGTATGATCTATCTTGATGATGTTCTATTCCAGTTGATGATGTCCTATTGCACTTGACAAGAATATATATTTTAAAAAACTTTCCAATGTTTTGTATCAGGTCGGTTCATCAGATAGACCTCTCTCTCCATAGTGTCTTAAAGTCAGGCCTATTGAAGAGTGCCACCCCAATGAACAACTGTCAGCAAGAATGAAAAACAGAATTGGTCTGAGGGAGGGGTGGGGATGTAGTGCAGTTTTAGCAAAGCCTTGACTGATCCTCTTGACAGGAACTGGAACATCTCTTGACTTCCCACACTCTCCCATCCGTTTGTAGACTGACCATTAAACCATTAAACCCACAGCTCGTTGACTTAGCTCCAGCTTCTCTGGGCCACACTTTCCATTTCACCTGGGCAGATGTGGGGTGGCTACCTTTCTTCAGGGCAGGGACTCTCCTCCACAGTGTATCTACTTTTTGTCTCTAACAACAAGTGTTTTCTTTTAAATATTTCTGCAAAGTTTATGATTATCATCTGTGAAGGGGCTAATCCCAACAAGCTACTGGTCACTATGGGAATTGAAATGCCTCTATTTTTAAATTACTGGATGAAAAGTTTGTGAAATATTTGAGTTGAAGAGACTGTGCAGTTTATTTAACAGTCTCTTTTTTGGGACCTCAGGTCTACCTCACACTGGTAGAAATTCAACCATTACCATAAACTTTGCCTCCTCTAAATTTTTCTGTCGTCCTGAAAGCCCTCTTTTTACTTGTTATTTTGAGACAGAGCTTCACTATGTAGCCCAGGCTGAGCTTGAACTCTTGAACACTCAGTCTCAGCTTCCCAAGTAACCGAGTTTACAGGTGTGTCCCTCCAGGCACGCCTCCTTAGAAACTTCTGGTCAACCCCAACAGCACGGATTCTTTTGTAGCCCTTACTACTATGGCCCCAGAAAGAGTTAGGTCTGGCAAAGACAAGATGGTAACGGACGAACCAGTAGCTATGGCTTGAAGTATGTACTGGTAAAGAACTTGGAGTGGCGTTGCAGAGTGTAATGTGTCTTTAAATAGAACAGCTGGGAAGTCCTATCTGAGAGAGCGACCTTCTTTATAACATTACTTTTAGCTGGCAGATGATGTTAGTTTTTGGTAAATGTTTTCACTATGGGATGATTAAATCATGTAAACAAACAAGACTACCTCATGTACTTAGAATTTTGGGGTCATGAAAGCATTTAAAATCCCCTTTGGCAATTTGAAAAGATGAGATATATTGTTGTTTAATATTTAACATCTGTTGTCCTTACAATGAACAACTGAAGCTCATTCTTCCCAGTTGCAACTTTGATGAATATCACCCAATCTTTATCCACACCTTCCCTCTACTTCTAGTAGCCATGGTTGGATGCACATAGTAGCACTTCTGTGTTATGAACTCTTAGAAGCCCCACTCGAGGCCATGCAGTCTGTGTCCTTCTATATCTTGCTCATTTTACTTAACACAGTGTCCTCTGGGTTCATCCCTATTGAAAGCAACAGGAGTTTCCCCCTTTTCATGGCCTAATAGTACTTCACTATCACCAACACCACACCCTCTGACAATGAAGGCAGACTGATTTCACACCTTTGTCATAGTGAATAATGCTGAAATGAACATGGGAGAGCTCTTTGCCATGGTAGTTTCAATTTTTTTTTTTTTGGCTATATGGCCAGAAGTGAGACTGCTGAACCAAATGATAATTCTATTTCTTGTTTCCTGAGGAACCCTAACACTGTTCTCCATTAATGACTACATTAATTTACATTCCCATCCACAGTATACAAGTCTCCTTTCTCCATGCCCTTGATGGCTCTATCATTATAATTTTTAAATTATATTTATGTATGCACATGTCACAACATGGGTGTAGAGGTCAGAGGACAACTTCCAAAAGTCAGTTTTCTCAGTCTACCATGTGGGTCCCAGGGATCAAACTCAAGCCACCAAACTTAGCACCTTTACCATGTTGCTGGCCTCAGCACTGTCTTTCATTTTGCTTATAATAATCATTCTATCACATGTGGGGTGTCTCATTGTACCCATTTGCATCTCCCTGATGATGATGAGAATTGTCTTCATATATCTTTGGTTATTAGTGTGTCTTCTTTTGAGAAATGTCTATTCAGGTGCTTTATATATTTTTAGAATAGGTTATTTGTTTTCTTGCTGTTGAATTGAGACCTTTATACATTTTTGGATACTAACCTCTTATCAGATAGATATTTATAAAGTATTCCTCCAATCCCTGGGATGTCTCTCATACTATTAACTGCTTCTTTCAATCTGATATAACCCCATTTGTTAATTCTGACTTATATGTCGCCTGGATTTGGGTGACATATCCCAGATATCATTACTAAAGCAACATTGATTACTTTCTTTTTACTGTTTTTCTAATTGTTTACACTTTCAGTCTTACATTGATTCATCCATCTTGAGTTGGTTTTTACATATGGTATGAGACAAGGCTCCAATTTCATTTTCCTGGCTGTAGTTATCCATTCCCATAGCTACTTTTTCTGAAGAAACTATGTCTTCTCTGCTGTATATTCTTAGAACGTTGACTGTAAATGCCGCTTTATTTCTGGGGCTCTCTGCTCTATTCCAGATCAATGTATCTGCTTTTCCACTGTTGCTATACTTTATAAACACTATCTGTTTCCATTTTATGCACATGAGTGTTTGCTTGCATATATGTATGTGCATCACATGTGTGCCTGGTGCCCACAGAGGCCAGAAGAAGGCATCAGATCCTAGTAATTGTAGTTACAGATGGTTGTGAGGCACCACGTCAGTGCTAGGAACTGAATCCAGGTCCTCTGGAAGAGCAGCCCATGTTCCTGACCTCTGAGCCATCTCTTGAGCACTATGTCGTACCCTTTCAAAGTACTGTTACTTTGTAATAGATTTTGGAGTCAGGTGAAAGACAATGTTTTCTGCTTTCTTTTTGCTCAAGATTTCTCTGTGTATTTAAGATCTTTTGTGGCTTGATAATATTTCCATTTTGGGTCAAAGGTGACATTGGGATTTTGATAGGGGTTATGTTGAATTTAGACTGTTTGGGTGGTATGGGCATTTGAACAATATTGACACTTCCAATCCATGAACATAGGATACCTTAACATCTATTTGTATCACTTACATTATTTCCATTAATGGTTTTGTCATGCATATTTTTCACGTCTTTGGTCAGATTTATTGTTAAATATTTT